GACAGGAAGGTGCACACTGAGCGTGCTCCTTCCTATCACTCCGGCCGGGCATCGCGGACAGCAGAGCGGCTCGGCCACGCTACAGGGGAGGTGAGAACCAACTGCAGCCGCCTGAGCGCTCTTGACAGAGCGCTCAGGCAGCTGCAGTATTTAAAGGGCCGGCGTATAACACGCACCCACAATTTCTCCCCTATTTTCAGGGAGAAAAAGTTCGTGTTGTACGCCGATAAACACGGTAGTTGCATTTATTTCAAATTTATACATTTTTCTCTGTCCCATATCCCCTCTTTCTCTGCCCCAGGCTGTCCCTGCTTCTCCTCTGACCCAGGACTATTACACGTGCAGACACACATATAGATACAGACTAACACACACACAAACCTGTAGATACTCATATGCAAACACTGACACACATGCGGATAGACATATGCAAACACTGACACACATGCAGATACACACACTGACATACATACAGGTACAGATGTACAGACACAATGATGCACAAACATACATGTACACAGATTGACACATATGCAGATACAGTGAAACACAGATACATACACTGACCCATATACAGATACACACACAGACACACAGATACCCACACGGACATACAGACACTGACACACACATGCACTGACACACATGCAGATACAGATACAGACATTGTATGTGTGTCAGGGTATGTATCTATGTATCAGTGTCTGCATCTGTATCTGCATGTATGTCAGTGTCTGTGTGGGTATCTGCGTCTGAATGTGTGTCAGGATATGTATATGTATGTCAGTGTATGTATCTATGTGTCTGTATCTGCATGTGTGTCGAGGTGTGTATCTTTGTGTCAGGGTGTGTATGTGTGTGTCAGTGTATGTATCTTTAAGTGTGTCAGTGTATGTATCTTTAAGTGTATCAGTTTATCTGCATGTATGTCAGGTTATGTATCTGTGTGTCAGTGTGTATCTGTATGTGGGTCAAGGTATGTGTCTGTGTGTGTATGTATGTATCTACCTGTGTGTCAGACACACAGATGCATACCCTGACACACATACAAATACACACCCTGAAACCCAGAAACCCAGACACTCTGACACACAGATACATACCTTGACACACATGCAGATACACATACCCTGACACACACACACACTGAAAAACAGATACACACTCTGACACACAAGCAGATACACACTGACACACAGATACACACATGCATATACAAAGACTCATAGATACATACATACACTGACACACATACAGACACATACCCTGACACACAGGCACACTGACAGATACACACTCTGACACCCATGCAGATGCACAGAGATACACACAGATACATACCCTGACACACATACAGATACACAGCAATACATACACTGACACACACGTATATATACAGACACATATATACATACCCTGACACACAGATACAAAGAAACATAAGGGATGTATCATTAAGTGTGTCAGTGTATGTACCTGTGTCTTAGGATCTGCATGTGTGTCAGGGTATGTATCTGTATGCGTGTCAGTGTATGTATGTATGTGTATCTGCATGTTTGTTAGTATATGTATCTGTGTGTCTCAGTGTGTTTGTGTATCTGCATGTGTGTCAGGGTGTGCATCCTTAAGTGTGTCAGTGTATGTATCTGACACACAGATGCACACCCTGACAAACATGCAGATACACAGACACCTATACTGACAAACATGCAGATACACAGACACACATATATACATACACTGATACACTTAAGGATACACAGATACAGACACCGACACACATACTCACACACCGATGCATACCCTAAGACACAGATACACACATTGACACACATGCGGATACAAAGACACATAGATGCACACCCTGACACGCGCGCCGATGCACATCAATACATGCAGATGCATACCCTGAGACACAGATACACACATTGACACGCTTAAGGATACACACCCTGACACACAGATGCACATATATACATACACTGATACACGTAAGGATACATACCCTGACACGCAAACAGATACACAGATACAGACACTGACACACATCCTCATGCACAAATACATACCCTGAGACACGGATATGCACATTGACATACATGCAGATACACAGATACCTATACTGACAAACATGCAGATACACAGACACATATATACATACACTGATACACTTAAGGATACATACCCTGACACACATACAGATACATACCCTGAGAGACAGATACACACATGCAGATACAAAGACACATATATACATTCCCTGACACACATAAGGATGTACACAGTTGCACATACACAGACACACATGCAGATACACAGATACATATACTGACAAACATGCAGATACACACACACACACACACACACACATATATATATATATATATACACACACTGACACTTAAGGATACATACCTTGACACACATACAGACACTGACACACATCCTCATGGACAGATACTTATCCTGACACACATGCACATACACAGTTACACACCCTGACACACACATACGCACTGACACACATGCAGACACACAGATACATACATATACACACATTAACACACACATGCAGATACACAGAGATACACACACTGGCACAGACACTGTGCTGTGTGTGAGGGGTGTTTTGTGTGTGTGATGGCTGCTCTGTGTGTGTCTGTGAGAGGTGCTGTGTTTTTGAGGTGTGCTCTGTGTGTGAGAGAGGTGCTCTCTGTGTGTGTGTGTGTGTGTGTATAAGGTGTGATGTGTGTATGAGGTGTGATGTGTGTATTTGTATGAGGGGTGCTGTGTGTGTGAGGGGTGCTGTGTTTGTGTGTGTGTGAGGGTGTTGTGTGTGTGTGAGGGTGCTGTGTTTGTGTGTGTGTGAGGGTGCTGTGTTTGTGTGTGTATGAGGGTGCTGTGTTTGTGTGTGTATGAGGGTGCTGTGTGTGTATGTCTAAATGGCTCTGTGTGTATGAGGGTGCTGTGTGTGTATGTCTAAATGGCTCTGTGTGTATGAGGGTGCTGTGT